ACAGGCGATCGGCTTGTAAAAGTCATGGGGTTCCTGACTGACCAGGTTTATAATTATCATTGCATCATGAGCTAAATCCAGAATTTTGTTTAAGAATCTGAGACAAAGTTACCGGATCCCTTTAAGGATAGTAGTGTTCTTAGTGCAAAACAAAAGCAAAAACAGATACAAAAACAAAAATACATCAATTTTAAGCAGTAACTGTATAAATAGTGGTATAACAAACACAATTAAGACATACATCAGGATAGGAATGTGCAACTTGGATTGTATCTGTCATGAGACACTGGAAAAGGTGGCTGCTGTTTACTTTCCTTTTCATTCATCTTTAATTACCTTCATTTATGTATGTTTCTTTAAATATCAAATCAAATGACACTATTAATTGAGGCAGAAGTAAATCTGAACATATCTGAATTTAATGTAATCAAAATTCCAACCCTTGCATTGATCATTGAAAATAATTGAATTTTAGTTGATAATTTAAGAGGTACATGAAAATAGCATTGATATTTTACTTGAATTATGTGTGGGGGTTATAAATGTATCGAACTACATCAAAATGCGTCATGGCAAATTGGCAATTAATACTGATAAGCTCCTTGACTCCTTCTTAATTATTATGGTCCATGTAATAATTTTAACTCTAATTCTGTCTTTTAAAAATAAAATATGTAAACATCAAACTGATCATCAAAGGTGAAGTCTGGACTTATCCTAGATATTTAATTTTAAAAGTGGACAGTTGAACCTCTTTCAGTCCTGACCTATTAATTCTACAGATGTATTGAGCGGGAACTCTCAAATTAGAGGCAGTCATCAAAGTGAGGGTGACAAGGCAATTGACATGACCATGTTCTTCAAGCTGATACTAACGCAATAATGAACCCATGGGACCAAGCTGGTGAATAAGATATATTGACAATCGTCTGATGAAGCTTCTCATTTGCCCCAGTGCTCCATATAATTAACATTAAATGCCAGTCACATGACCACATGTACTAGAATTGAATTTCATCCAATTTAGATACAAGAAGAAAATGAATAGAGAAAAGAAAGGAGAGGGAGGGTGGGAGAAGAAGAGGCAGAGAAATGCTTTTCAAAAGTGGAACACCAGTGATCTTTTATTTTTGTTGCAACAACGCTGATCACAAAAATGGGGAGGGCAAATATAGTGCAATAGCAGACTGACATACTTGAACACTCATTGATGTTATGCAGCAGGCTTCTATACACAGTCATTTCAGTGTAAAATGAGGTTGAGAAATTAGCTTCAAAACTGTTAATCTTTTGTAAATTCAATATTAGCTTTTGACTGCTAATTTGAAAGTGTGTTTGTTAAAATTTATAAACCAGTTCAAATCACATCAAATAATAAAGAGGTAACATACCATTTCTCATTCATAGCAAAGAAATTCATACTGATCATGCTTACTTAAATCAATATGATCTTAGCTTGGTCAATATATGTGATGTAGGCCTACCCTTGACTCAAGCCCAGTCAATATAATATAAATGATAATCATGTCAGACAGTCAGGCACCAAATATATACAACTGGTATTACTGCCAACATGTGAATCCAGTTTGTTGATTATATCTCAGCTTTTATGTTTATCAGCAGATAATTGTTTGCAGTTTTGGGAATGAAGTGTAAATTTCATTCATGAGAACTTATTTTCAGATGCCGTAATACTACCAGAACTTACAAAGAAGTAAACTTAGTTTTTATTGTTGTTGAACCTCAGTTCTCAGGGCACAAGGCATATTATTATATAACCTGTTAGCCAAAAGTACTTGCATACTTTGTGCAATAGTTTTGCAATAATGTCAAAATACTTACCAACCTTACTTAGCACAACAGTATTCTCAGACACAAGAAATTTCTTCTGAATATGAATAATATCCAATTTAATCATCCAACAGAACAGCTCAGCTCACTGCAGGCTCTAGCATCCTCATTCCGGCTCCACAAGATAAACCAAGTAATGATACATTAGTCAGAGTAATGAGCAATGAAATCCTCTCTCCTTACACTCCCTCCACCCTTCTACATCAAAATGATTCCAAAGTTGGGTGGCATCATCAAGAAGCTGTTCTCTGACAGCAGAGAGAAGGGGGATGATGATGAGATGTCCAGGGGATAGGGGCAAATACCCAAGATGGTGGGGGAGCTAGCTAGGGAAAGCTAACACCAGCACTGGACAGCTACCATGGGTGGACCAACATCCCTTCTATCTACCCTGTTGGAGTCCTACTCAGTAGCACAGCATCCTACAAACATACCATTATTATTGTCCAAGAACCCCGACTGGTACTCCAACAGCTTCCTCTGCCTTACTCAACAACACGCCGTCCTTCTCTATTCATTACATTCTCTGCAACTGTTCAAATCATCAAATGTGCGGAATTTGTGCAAAATACACCTCACCATTAAAACCCTCAGCTCAATAGAACTGGAGCTGATTTCACAATAAACCCAAGCCAGAAACCTTCCTCTCTAGGCTCTATACAGTTTTGATTAACCCATTATTCATCGTAAAACCTCGTATTGATGTTTTTTCTTTGGCAGGGTTGAAGTTGGGGCGTTTATCTATGGGGGGACAGGAAACAGCGCTTTATAAATCGTGGGCACTTATGTGTGACATTGGTACAATAGTCTGCTTTGTATACTACTAGAGGGATTTCTCCTTTGTAATTCAATGTGTTTTTTCCCTTCTCTCCTCTTTCCTATTGAATGTTGGGTCTCTCTGCCCCCTCTCTTCCATAGAAGCTTCTATAAACAGAAACATTTGCAGAAGGGATAGAAAGGGCTCTCTATTAGATCTCATAAGAGGCTGGTCTTATGGGGTAGTCTTCATCAGTGTCCTGAGACCTTGAAATCTGAGGACAATCGAAAAGAAGGGGAGTAGCCAAACTCTTACAGTCAGTACTCATTGGTAAGTCTACAAAACTTCTGAACTACCAAGTAATGTGTTTTATTTTCAAGCACTCCCCTTTTCAACGTGCTGAAGAAATATTGTTGTCTTGAGGTTTTCCAGAGACCGATTACATTTTTCACTCTTAGCTTTCCAGAGCCGAATTGTTCTTTGCTCTCATACTTATTGCACTTGCAGGAAGTCTTCAAGAACTTATGGCAGGCCGGCCTACAAGTACATCATGATGAACAGTTCCTCAGAGAAGAACAACTCAAATGGAATGCATGCGCACTGGAATCGAAGATCAGTGGCAATTCATTTTGCTTAATGTCTGAATCTTTAGACTAGACTGGTCCAATCCATAGTGGCACTGATGTATAAAGTATGACCCCATTCTCACTCACTCACTCACTTGGTTGGACTGGTCTAAGGGTGCGTTTATGCTTAATTTTGAAGGCAGAATGAGCGATTTGTAACGCTCATCGTAATCGCAGTTCCACGGTGTACTGTTTATGCTCACTTCTCTGGCTCCTCCAGGCATGATTCTGGCTCTGCAGCTGGATTCGCAAACCTGCACTGCGCATGCTACGTTGACCCCATTTAAACGCGTTTATGCAACCCAGAATCGCCGATCCAAAACGCACCTTTTTGTGAGTTTAGGATCGGCAGTTATGATCGCCGTTTTTCAGTGATTCTACAAAATTGAGAAAGGACGCAACCGCGTTTTGAACTAAACGCATAACAAATGCCTCATTCTGGCCAGAAAAAGTTGAGCATAAACGTACCCTAGGTTGTGTTCTCACACTCACTGTTCTAACCTAGACCTTCCTAGCATAGACCCATCTATCTGTCCTTTGTTACTTGTTATCTCTAGTGTAGACCTGTCCACGGAGTGAATGAGAATGGGGTCTAACATGCCTGAGTGATCTGCTTGGGGGTGGGGTCCTCAAGATTTGCATACACTTAGTCAAAGTAAACAGAACCCTTTTTCAAAGGAATTTAGGGAAATTCTTTTTATTGTTCATCACTGACCTGAGATTTCACAAATTCCAATTAATTCAATCAATTTGTGCGCTAGATTACTATTAAATTAGCCCCAAAACAGTTATCTTGGGCAACCTGGGGCTTTAATGACAGATAAAACAAACAATAAGAGCATCATAAGTATACCTCTTGATACAAACATTTTTTTCTGGTTGGTTTAGGGTTTATCTAGAGTTGGTAATAGTTATACAGGAAAATAAATCACGAGATTCAGATAAAAACTTACACAATGAATGTTTGATAACATAAAGGCCTGAATGGCATATGCCAAATATATGTGGTAGGACAGTTTTATAGCTGAGTAATGATCAAAGAAATATACCGGTACTTATTTTCATTATCACCATAATTATCTCTATCATCATAGTCACAATAATCTTCATCATCATCATCACCAATATCATCACCATCACCACCATCATCATTCTTCAAAACAATCAAGCTTCACTTTAAACATTACCGGTACTCATTAGTTTGTCTTTCCCATATATATTTACAAATCATCAGTTGAAGTTAAAAATAACACCTGTATCAAATCAATGCGCTTTCAAAGGTAAAGACCAGTATTGGAAACACCCCAATTTCAAAAAAATGAAATGGCAGCTCTTATTACCAATCATGTGAAAGAATATGTTTTGACTAATACATGATGATAAAAATTTGCCGGGAAACTACCTACTAATTAGTTTATCTATTGGGATGTGATAGATAAAATGCATGTGTCGCGCACGTGTGCGTAGTCCCATATACATCTTTCTGTGTATGGTGCTTGTAACTTTATCAAGACTGGGCCAAATTTCTTATCATTTTGATGATTCCAGAACCTTGCAGTACACACCAATACTTATATGCTAGATGATCAACCTTTTCTGATCGATTCCACAACGTTTCTTTCACAATGCAATCGCATGACCATAACTGGTCTGTACCTTTAAACTAGGGGCTTCAAAAAGTGCAATTACAAGAATTTTTTTTTCTTCTAAAGCTCTTTCCGAAACGATCAATTCTTATAAATGCTTTTCATCATTTCAAGACTTACCCATTTGCCAATGTCATCCGTATCCACGATCTCCCATTCCCACTCGATATCCATTGCCGGAGTGATGGTTGGCATGGGGGCAAAATCGACAGGGATAGTCTAAAAACTCAACAAGGTTGCATTGTTTATGGAATCCACGATTGAAGCTCCTGATTGAATAATCCAATTAATTTCCAGTCTTGCAGTTGTAGAGTGTCTATTGACTCACAAGTTTGTCACCAAGGTGCAGGCAGAAGAGGATGATTTTGTGAACATATAATGCTTAAGGGCTTTGGTTCATATGGAGATCCAACAAATCCCTTCTAGATCCTGAATGTTACTGAACCTTTAACTAAAGGTATAGCTTCTGCAGTCTCTTTCATCAGGATCTACTGTTCCAATGCTTTAGAAATGTTCAAATACATTCCTACGGTGAAAAGATAACTATGCATATCATACAGGAATATGCTGAGACAACACTTGATTCAATTACAATAACAGATATTCTAGGAACTTAGTCCAGTCACAAGTCCAGACTAAAATAGAAATGGAGACAAAACTTGATTTGTGGATTGCAAAAGAGTAAATTCACATGTTATCCACAACCAAGTTCAGAAAAATAAAGAAACTGAGACTCGTATCTTATTCGATTCACCTACTGAAATAGCACCTAACAACAGGGAAGTGTACCTGTATCAAAGAACTAGCTCAGTACACAGAAGCAACATGAGTGAGAAGTATATAGTTGGAAAGAATAAAAACTATCTCAATTGCAGCAATTACTCCCCTCGAAAACCATGTAAAATATCTCCTCTGAGAAACCAATCATCTGTACAATGACATAGTGAATTATTACCTTCATGAAAACGCAGGTGTTTACTCATCCCTTAGTATTCAAAGCAATGAAGAATATACATGTCAAAGGATATTCATAGTCTGAATGATGGCCTAAGTATCTTGTAAAATGTCAACTGTAGACTGTGACCTTAACACATCCTGAACGATAGTGCACTCATTAAGCCAAACAACTACAGTACAGGGTTAGGCAATTGAAATGACATGTACAGTCTCTGGAATAAATGCTTATCATTTCCTAAACAATTCTGCCACTGATTCGCTAGTCTCCTTACTCTTATATCCTAGTATTTGTCACTGATTTGCAGTGTTCCAGTTCCAGACATCAAGGTAGGAAATGCAAGTAAATTTTGATACAGATAGGGAAAATTTCATTTTATTTATTGTATTTTTACAAACCATCTTCTATTCAAAACAACACAAGTTCAAACAATTCTATGAAGAAGGAAAATCACCTTTTCAGAGACTTTTCTGAGACAAGAGCAATTACTACCACTTGCAGCTAAATAAGAAATATTTCTTTCTGTTCAAATTATTTAAAAAAACAGTAGTTGTAAAGTAATGGAATGAGCTGATCCCAAAAAATTCTTATCTAAAATTATCTTTCTGTCATAATTACAGGTAGGCCTATTGATCAAAAGTAACATACAGAAAGAATACAATGAAGATTGGCAGAGAGAAACTAATCACTCAATTCATAAGATTGTCCCCAGACGAAATGCACACAAAACCCTGCAATGACCAGCAATCAGAAATGAAAGTGTTTAACAACATCACTGTATCTTAACGGCGTCTTAATATGGAGTTAGACAGGTTTAAACTCATTTACTTGACACAGTCACAGAGTTAATGCCATTCAGGTTCTGAAGACATGAAATATACTACCTTCATTGGAAGAGGTATAATCCATATATAAGTCGGATAGAGCTCAAACAGAACACAGGTAAGTAAGATTGTTTTGCTCATGATATCCCCCACTCAACAAAACATCTCCCACATCATGAATAAAGACATGAAATATAATCCCATGTCCTATACAGCACGGACACAATCCACATGCACAGCTCTAACAGAAAGACTAGTATGGAGGGAGATGGTATAAGGATGAGGTTACTGCCAGTTTATTACAACATCCCTCTCAGTTGGTGGAGTGTAGAGGAGTAGAGGTTATGACATTTACTACCATCATGTTCCTCTTTCTACATGGTATGGTAGGCCTACCATCTCCCCATCTCAATCGCCAATGATGTGCCCAAGACCAGCTGGTCTATATCCCACATGGTTATTCTACATGCACATACACGAAGCACTATTTCATTAATATAACAATCAATTTGCTCAATCAGTTTTCCTCCTTTCTTGAAATGCCTGATGATGTTGCCACTCAATGAATTCTGCTGATAGTATGTTTTACCAAAATAATCTGAGCAATTCCAAAGTGAAGATGCATGATGCTTTAACAAATTAATGTTAGTAGTTGCAGTGATCAAAGACTATCATAGACCTTTTCCTCAGCATGGTGCCGGTATCATCATCATCATTACACAGTGCTCTATCCTTTTATCCTCATACAGGTGATAATCATCCTCCCTAGTCTGTAACATATTCAATATCAGACCCTCATAGATAATAAACAGACAGATCAACCACCATGAGATACAGGCTGAAATGTGAGACTACCATCTGGAGGCTTGGCAGGTCAATTTGTTACGTCATGACAAACATTTTTAGTTCTCACATGTATCTCATCTTGTAAGGCCACTATCAATGGCAATGCATACAAGCTTCTTCAAATAAGAGACAAATCAAATACATTCAACCCCTTTGAGGGGCAGATTAAACTATATCATCTTCAAGTTGTCCAAAACACAAAGCACAAGTCAACACATTCCTGCTTCTACATTACTATCATGAAGAAAGATTTACGTTGTATGTTAAGAATAAGAGCAAGAATGGTATTTTATATCTCTGTGTGAACATTCCTTTTTGTTCACACCTAATATCATCTGGAGATTATTTCAGACCAGGCTTGTTTTGCATAACTATATTGTAGATAACTATGTATTATTTTATTGCAATAATGAGCGTAAATTAAGTTTGATATTTGACATTGATTTGGGACTTAAGTAGTCTTTAAGAAAATCTATACTAACTATAGAAAAGTCTCCTAGCACATACAACATTTGCATCTATCGGCACAGCGTTCTACCAGTTTGATTCTAAGTAACGTTCATTATAAGGACCAGGATCATAGATACCACCGACTTAGTATGCAAGAGCACCTAATTGTTGATACATTCCTTTCATTATCTTTCTCTATATTAATCAACATGACCTTCAACATGGAGCATTCTTGGTATCATGCATACAGGCATCTTGAAAGAGGAATGTTGTCACATAGTTATTGAACATGTTGAGAATTTCAATCTGTATTAAAGTGACTCTGTAACACTGTTGAAGGTTGATGTAAAAACTGTGTAATTTTTGTATGAAATGTTACTCATTATATTCCTTCTATGGTACTAACCCTCTAACATGCAAAAAATCCTGGAAAAATTCCTAAACCACAAAGTTATTTATGGTTTTCTTTAAAGGCATCACTGTGCGACACCCTCCAACAGTAAATTCTGTCAACCATTTTGAATTCTCCCAACTGTTTTTCCATGAAAATAATACAGGCTTTTAAATTTGTTTCAACACTTATATGTCTGGAATAGTATGTAAAGCCAATTCATTGTTTTGTGATGATTTACATTCACCTAAAAATGTACCGGTAATTAAATTGTAGTAATATAGTTGGGAGAATAATTTTCCCCTAATTTTTTATCATTAATAATGGTCTGTTTTCACTCAAACTTTCAGATTATCTTTAATCTAGCATTGAAGTCACTGCTTTAGCACCATTTTCTCTCATCAAAACAATGTTACCAAGTTCCTTTGCATCCATTCTAAAAGCCACAGAACAATTTAAGATGCTTACATTTTTTAAGAAAGGGTTGTTGGAATTTCACGATTTTGTATTTATCCCTTTTCTCCCTATTATTATTGGGGAGAAGGAAGAGGATGGAGAGCGGGAGGGAGGGAAATATAAGTGAAGGAAGAAGAAAGAAATAGCGAAAGAGAAAGCAAAGAACATAGATGGAAAGATGGAGTGTGAGAGAGAGTGAGAAAGAGAGAAAGAGAGAGAGAGAGAGAGAGAGAGAAAGAGAAAAAGACGGTGAGACACAAGTAGAAAAAAAGAAATGGAAAAAGAGTGAAAGACAGATAGTGAGATGCAACAATCATATTTTTTTGGAGGTGTAATGTAATCACTTTGATTGACAGCTTTCCAAAGATGGGTAGCCAAGTATGAATTAGTTTATTGCACCTTAATTAGCACCTTTCTCTTATGCAGGTTTCATAACACTTTTTGGATAATCACCACTTTCTGTATCGGTACAAGTTTCTTTCTACAATGTTCTGTCTGGTGTAAATGAACGCCTACATATCTCTTCCATGTAGCCATAAGAAGTGGTCCCCTCCCTCAAATAACAAGCCATGAAATGCCATCAGTTCGTTTATTGCACCCATCACAACCATAAATAATTCAAGAAAACAAGAGCTCAGCAAAGGTTATGAAAATCAATCAATAAATGTCTTGTACAGAGAAATATGAGTTGGTTGTAGATTTTATTGGGAGTAAACCTGACCTGACAGCTAGGGGCTTGCTTGCATACAGGAGCCAATTAAAGTCACTATGAATCTTTATTCCTCATTGACCAAGTCAAAGACATTTTTTTTTTTTTTGTTGTTGAAGTGCTATTCAACCCCTTGCACTCTGTATTGTGGCCTTTATCTGCCATCAACATACAGCACTGATTAAGTCATCCCAATAATTCAATTTTTACATTAAATTTGTTTATTTTCCATTTTAAAACAAATTGATTATAAGGGCAAAATACAGCAAATAATTTTTTTGTTGAATATCACAATATAAAATAATAGGTTACTTGCTTGTGGGCAAGGTCCCAGTTTTACAAGATGAAATAATACTCTTTAATCTCAAAATAATTTGAAGATATATTTTAAATTGGTGACCAAACATTTGTTCCAGCAACAGTTGCTCAAAGATATAGAGAGTTAGGATTAGGTAACGGGTTCGGTCTAGGCTTAAAGTTAGTTTAATAGTGAAGTTATTTACAGCAGAGCAATAGCTGCAGAAGCATGTGTCATATAGTCATACAACCCTATATTACCTGTACTCACTAGGTGCATTATAGCATTTAAGACATGTAGAAGGGTATCTGCCATGCAGAGGGTCGCATACATATACAAAGCAGAGGAGCTGTTGTGTCCGCATGAATAGTTACAACTGTATATCAACAATCTTCCTTCCCGACTACGTTAGATCCCACTGAATAATCCTTTCATGTGATCACAAGCATCTTCCACTGTGTTCCAACAAGAATATCACCTTGAATTATCTTCCAATCAAAAAACATACCAAGCACGAAGGAATACATTTGTGAAGTAAGTACATTAAATCTATATTTAAAGAGCTATATCCAAACGGAAGTAAAAGGTTGCGGATGTCACAGGATATGGTATTGTTTATAATCTAAAAATCAGGAAGAACGCTCAAGTGACATGTACAAGTAGCTATCAAGGAAATCGGTGCACAGAAATAGTGAACAATCCAAAAGCAGACTCCAACAAGTTAATGTTTAGTTGATCTTGGGCTTTCACAGATCTTTCAGAAAGCCTCAGAGCTAGAGATGATATGACTGATAAAAACCCCGGTGATCAAGCAGAAATGATTGAGAAGACATGTACTGGAATGAAGAGACCAGCATGGGTATCAATGAAACAGGTAATACACTCAGTTCTTTCTGAGGTGGGGAGATAAACTGCAAATCTAGACTGAAAACAATGTCACCAAGGTTGTACAATGCAGCTCACACTCA